AACCCACTCGTGGGATTGCTTTTGCTCAGGGACCTGGATATACTTGGTGGGTAATGCGGGAAGATGGGGAAGTCCGATGTATACCTCAAGGGGATTTGATATTAGGGGAAAACAGCCAGTGAACTCAATTGTATGCTGTTGCCTGCTGTGTAATGCTTTTATAGCCCATCAACTAGATGTCTCCAGGTCACCAGCGACTGGCCCTGACTTCCCTCCAGCCATCATCCCAACAGAGAATGAACTTGGAACATCATGGACCGAATGGACTCGGCAGCATTATAGGGATTGGTCCATGCACTAAGAAAATGATTTTTTTCCTCTTGGTCTGTATGTATATGGATGTATATATGTGGGAGAGCGATGGTGTATTGAAAATGTGGGATCTGAGCACGACGTGAATGGTATGGAATAAGGGGTGGATAATGTCCTGGGTTCAGCAGTAGCAGTCATGTTTTTTCCTTTGTGTTAGCTGGTGCAGTGCTGTGTTTTGACTTCTAGTTTTGAGAACAGCGTTGGTGAAGCCGATGTTTTCGGTTGTTGCTAAGTGATGTTTACCCTGACCAAGGACTTTGTGAGGCTCATGCTCTGCCAGGGAGGAGGGGAAGCTGTGAGGAAGCAGAGACGGGGCGCCTGACCCGGGCTAGCCGGGGAGGTATTCCATACCACAGCACGTCATGCCCGGGGTGGGGGGTAACTGGGAGTTGCCCGGAAGGACAGGGGCTTCCGGGTGGAACTCGTTTTCTTGGCCGGTGGTATCGTATTCTCTTCCCTTGTTATTTTCCCTTATCATTGTTTTAGCTGATAGTAGCGGTGGTGATTTGTTGCTGGACTGTTCTTGTCTCAACCCGTAGGAGTTGCACTCTCTCGATCCTCCTCCCCGTTCCTCCGGGAGCGGGGAAGGGGAGAGCCCCGGTGCAGGGAGGGGGGGGAGACGAACACGGACCTTGATTGTTGTCAGCTTGGCACCACTCACTGGGAGTGAGTGAACAAGTTACCTGACTGGGTTTAAACCACGACAGCCTGTTATGGTTCCATGGAGTGCAGCTTTTTAGGATAACATAAACTTAAATCTGAAGGTGTTCTTATATAGCAGAGTGCTTAAGCTCAGTTTTATGAGCAGGTGTGCATACATACATGTGCTCTGGTCACTGAATCAATGAGCGAAATAAAATGTGTTGCATGGATCTTGTGGATTTAAGCACATTTTGCTGAAGTGAAGGCTCAGGCTTGTCCATCTCCTGTAAAAAAAAATAGAGGGGCTAATTATAACTGGTTGGTATTTTTTCTGTACTAATTTGCTTAAAAAAAATGTCTGATTCAGGTGGCCAGTAGCAATTACGATCTGGTTCTGCTAATAGCTGTTTTCTTTAGATCTGTTTTTTCTAAAGCTTGGGATCTGGTTCAGTATGTTCAGCTTCATTTAAACTGCTGTCAGACCAACATTTCACATGTACCTTGCCTCTGTGAAAAAGGCTGTACAAAAAGCTGGCTGTGGGAGAATCACAAATTTATGGATTTTAGAGCAAAGGGAGAACATGATGTTCAGCTAAACTGACTGTGGCCTTGCCCAGTCCGTAGGTTCTTTTATTTAACCTTGCAGCTTAAGAGTGCATATTTGGAACAAAATATGGACTTGATTAGAATCATAGAATAATTAGGGTTGGAAAGGACCTTAAGATCATCTAGTTCCAATCCCCTTGCCATGAGCAGGGACACCTCACACTAAACCATGCCACCCAAGGTTCTGCCCAACCTGTCCTTGAACACCGCCAGGGATGGAGCATTCACAGCCTCCCTGGGCAAGCCATTCCAGTGCCTCATCACCCTCATAGTAAAGAACTTCCTCTTTATATCTAATTTAAACTTCCCCTGTTTTAAGTTCTAACCATTTACCCCTTGTCCTGTCACTACAGTACCTAATGAAGAGTCCCTCCCCAGCATCCCTATAGGCCCCCTTCAGATACTGGAAGTCTGCTATGAGGTCTCCACGCAGCCTTCTCTTCTCCAGGCTGAACAGCCCCAACTTTCTCAGCCTGTCTTCATACGGGAGGTGCTTCAGTCCCCTGCTCATCCTTGTGGCCCTCCTTTGGACTTGTTTCAACAATTCCATGTTGGTTTTATGTTGAGGACACCAGAACTGCACACAATACTCAAATTGAGGTGTCATGAGAGCAGAGTATCACCTCCTTTGACCTGCTGGTCATGCTCATTTTGGTACAGCCCAGGATGTATGACCACCACTTGACTTTCACCCCCAAGTCCTTCTCTGCAGGGCTGCTCTGAATCTCTTCTCTGCCCAACCTGTAGCTGTGCCTGGGATTGCTCCAACCCAGGTGTAGGACTTGGCACTTGACAAGGTTAACCTTCATGAGGTTAGCACCAGCCCACCTCACAAGCATGTCGAGATCCCTCTGGTGTATCCATCCAGTGTATAAACTGAACCACACAGCTTGGTGTCATCGGCAAACTTGCTGAGGGCGCACTCAATTCCACTGTCCCTGTCACTGACAAAGGTGCTGAACAAGACCGGTCCCAACACTGATCCCTGAGGGACACCACTCGTTACTGGTCTCCAGCCGGACACTGAGCCATTGACCACAACTCTTTGCATCTGGCCATCTAGACAGTTCTTTATCTACTGAGTGGTCCATCTATCAAATTGATGTCTCTCCAATTTAGAGACAAGGATGTCTTGTGGGACAGTTTTGAATGCAAGTCCAGGTAGATGACATCAACTGCTCCACCCCGTCCATCAGTTCTGTAGCCCCATCATAGAAGGCCATCAAATTGGTGAGGCGGGATTTCCGCTTAGTGAAGCCATGCTGGCTGTCACCAACCACTTTGTTGTTTTCATGTGCCTTAGCATGCCTTCCAGGAGAATCTGCTCCAAGGTTTTGCCAGGCACAGAGGTGAAACTGACTGGTCTGTAGTTCCCTGGGTCATCCATTTTCCCCTTCTTGAAAACTGGGGTTATATTTCCTTCTTTCAGTTGTTGGGAGCTTCACCTGGCTGCCATGATTTTTCAAATATGACGGGCAGTGGCTTAGCAACTGCTCCTTCGGGACCTGCGGATGGATTTCATCAGGACCCATAAACTTGTGCACGTTCAGGTTCTTAAGATGGTCTTGAACCAGATTCTCTCCTACATTGGGCCTAAGGTCTTCATTCTCACAGTCCCTGTGTCTGCCTCTCACAGTCCCTGTGTCTGCCAACACAACAGGGTGTTGTGCTCAGAGCATTTGCTGGTGAAGACTGAGGCAAAGAAGTCATTAAGATCCTCAGCCTTCTCCAAATCCAGGGTAGCCAGTTCTCCTGATAGCTTCCGGAGAAGGCCCATGTGGTCCCTACTCTGTCTTTTATTTGCAATGTAACTATAGAATCCCTACCTTTTTTCTTTCACATCCCTAGCCAAGGTTAATTCTAACTGGGCCTTAGCTTTCCTAACCTGATCCTTAGTTTCCCAGACAACATCCCTGTATTCTTCCCAGGCCACCTGTCCTTGCTTTCACCTTTTATAAGCCTCTCTTTTCCCTCAAAGTTTCCTCAGCAGCTTCTTATCCATCCAAGGAGGTCTCCTGGCCCTCCTGCTGCACTTCCTTCCAGTTGGGATGCAACACTCCTGAGCTTTTAGCAGGTGATCCTTGAATATCAACCAAGAGTCTTGGGCCCCCCTGCCCTCTAGGGCTGTATCCCATGGAAACTTACTATGGAGGCTCCTGAAGATGCCAAAGTCTGCTCTCCTGAAGTCCAGGGCAATGATCTTGCTGCATGCTCCTCTCACAGTCCTGAGGATCTCGAACTCGACCATCTCATGATCGCTACAACCAAGGCTGCCCTGGAGTGTCACATTTTCAACCAGCCCTTCCCTGTTGGTGAGCACGAGGTCATGAGGATTTAAAGGCTAAGTGCTACAGAGTTTGTCACAGTCATTAAGAGTTTGTTTCAGTGGTCAGTTGGCCTTTCTCTGAAAAATACTCTTTCTCCGAAAAATCTGTACTTTATTTTTTGGAACTCCGTTAACATCAAACTTCTGGAAATGGAGTCTTGCTGCTTGACTTTCTCAGAAGGACTGGGGACCACTTTGTTTTCCCATAGATATTTCTTGTGATCATTAATTTATAATTTCATGTTGTCAGAAAACTTCTTTATACTCACAAACCCAGTTAAGCAGACATGCTTACCCAAGTATTCCCACACTAAAGGTCTGACAGAATAAAAATATACCATCTTAGAAAAGAGTCAATATGGCTGTGGTGCCTTTTATTTCTGTTACTAACCACTGGTTTATGATTTTATAATGTTCATGGTTAAGATATTAATACTAGGAAAGAAGGTATACAGTATATATTGTAGTTATATGGTTGCTCCAGTGTCCTGCAAAATATTGTTTTCAGCATTTATTTGTACGTGTCAAATATGCTTTGCAAATGTCTTGAATGCTATTTCTTTTTCCTTAAACAATTTCTATGGTTTGATGACACTGAAAAGGTATTGATCCATGCCCTTTCCCTTAGACAAGATCAATAATTACTGTGAGCCTGCCTCCCAGTGTTTTCTTCTGAGAAGTTGAATGCAATCAACGTGTTACTTCCACACAGAATGAAAATTATAAGAAGAAGGGTTTTTAAATAACCCAAGCAGTATAGAATCATAGAATCACAGAATGGTTTGGGTTGGAAAGGACCTTCAGTTCATCTAGTTCAAACCCCCCTGCCATGGCAGGGACACCACACACTAAACCATGTCACCCAAGGCTCTGTCTAACCTGGCCTGAACACTGTCAGGGATGGAGCATTTACCACTTCTTTGAGCAACCTGTTCCAGTGCCTCACCACCCTCACGGTAAAGAACTTCCTTATATCTAACCTGAACTTCCCCTGTTGAAGTTTAAGTATCGTGTGTCCTTTTCCACATGATTCCTTTAGAAACCGAGTAAATCCTGCCTCAACGCATGTGTCTCACTGCTTTATGAATAATAATTGTTTCTGCTTTCTCCTTAGGGCTCTTCCTGCAATGATGCACTGGGTCAGAACTCAGAGACCAGGAGAAAGTGGTGTGAATATTATCACTGCAGATTTTGTAGAACTCGGCGACTTTATCAGCACAGTCATAAAACTCAACTATGTTTTGGATGGAGGTGAAGATGACACTACCTGATAGTCCTATAATATGTGTCTTGTTGCATCATTTAGAGTAAAAAAAAAGTAAAAATAAAAGATTGCATTTTAAAAGAATTGTCTTGTAAAACACTAATCTTCCTATGACACACTGAGGTGTTTAGGGCTTTAGTGGGTGGGCTTAGGGAAAATGTTTTAACCAGTTGTGATCATTTTTTACATTTGTTTCATGTGAAGAGCAAAACTAAACACATTTACAGTGTTTGATAAAAGAAGGCCATTTACATGTTCTCCATGAGGTACCAAATGCGATTTATGTGTCTTCTATGGTTACAAATAGTGCCAAGAAATTTGCTGCTTTTGGAGCAGTGGGATGTATATTGCCCTCTGCCTGCTTACAGCAGGATTCCCGATGGTATGAGCATTGCACCGGGAGTTTGAGGGCAGTATATCTGGCCCACAAATTTTAAGCCGCTACACTTCATCTGTTATGTTGGTTTAACTGGTTGTATATATCGGTGAGTTACAGTAAATGCCTTTGTGAAGTAAATCCAAAGTCATGCCTCATGCACAATCAATGGACAGTTAACATGATATATTATGTAGCTTGCATAGGGCACAGACTAAATCCTGCTTGCTTCTCATTCTCAAAATGGGATTTTCCACTGTCTACCCCAGCTCAAGTGGGTAGATATGTGGTGCTGGTCTAAATCTGTATAGGAGCTGCCAGTGCATATTTTCCCTTGTTCTAGCAGGAGCAAAGTTAGGCCAGCTTGGAGCACCATTTCGTCCCAGAATTAATCTTCTGTAAAAGCTTGATCCAATGTCCACTGAATTTAATAGGAAAATTTCCTGTATTTAGCATGGACTGGGGATAGGATCAGCAAATTGTGTGTACTGTAAGGTGGGCAGGATTTTGTCCCATAGTAGAAACCTGCTTTCTGCAGGACTAAAACTGCACTTAAATAATAAGTGCAGTCTAAGCTTTTCCTTGAGGCAGCTGCGAACAAAACTCTTCTCTGCTGATTGCAAAAAAGATCAGTGCCAGTTTCATCAATGAAAAATTGCTGTACTAAAAAGTGTAGTAGTTCAGTTTCTAGCTAATAATAATACTCTGTAGTCCTTATATTGTTCTGGGGATATAATACTGCATAACACAAGGTTGGAAGTCTACTGAATGGCACTGTTCTGGCAGCAAAATCACCGGTCATGCAACTTTTAATGAAACTTATATAAAACTCAAATACATGAAAAACTTAGTGATGAATAAAATGAAAGAACTGCCACTGTATTACACCTAACTGGATACAGTGCAATCAGTCATATCTCCTGAACATATCAATGCCCAGGCACATAACTTTGGAAAGCAAAACATTTCATTTGTGCAAAACAATAGATGCTTGATATCTTACAAGGAAAATGTTCTTTGAAATATTGTAGGGCTTTCTGGGTTCCCATTAAGGTCAAGTTTCTGTTGATATTACTCGAACTTTTGATTGAGAGAGAAGAAAGAATGGCATCATATGGTCCTTTGCTACTTTCTGTCAGATGACAAGGAATACCACCTACCATCACAGTTTAGAAAATTAAAAGTGGTCTTATTGAGCAGGTGGGTTACAGACAGATTGCAGGGGTTCTCTTGGTTTTAGTTTGGGAAGCAGAAGAAATGAACAGTTGCTGCTATTTTGTATTGAGAGTGTGCCTTGGAAAAAGTATGTGTGTGTGTGTACTATAAAGAAACATTGAAGTGTATGTATAGTATAATGACACAATAATTAAATGTATGTATATGATACAAAGACATCTGTGCATACATTCATAATAATATTTTGGTTTCTGTACAGGGATAATATAAATTTGGTTGAAATAAAACCTGTACAGCTGTTATGAAGTTATGCCATCTCCTTCAGCAGCAGCTTTTTTTTCCTATATAGGTTAGGACTGTATGAGGTGAATCTTTTATCCTAAATTGAATGACTCTTACATCCAATGTAGTGATATAAGACAGTGAAATCTGTGATCTAAACCAATTGAGTGTTTTACAGCATTAAAACTTTACCCAAACTGCCTCAAAAATTTACCAAGAATCACTGTCCATCTTTGTATTAAAAGAGGGGTAGGACTCTAGTGCTTTCACCCACAACTAAGCAAGATACTAGGTGGGTTGATGCACATTGTATCAGTCACCTTAGGCTGTTCAAGCAAAATTTATGTAACAGACACAAAAAATGAAACATGAGCATATGTTTTTTTTAACCCACCCTATGTGGGCATCCCACATAGAAACATGGAAGTATTTGCTTATTTATTAGCTATGTGGTGTGAAAGGCTCTCTTCATTTTTCTGTTTGGCTGGATTTGTTTGCTTCCAGACTCTTCCTGTCATCCTTCAGCTGCTTAAGTATAGTCAAAAGAGTTAATATCTTAACATCCTTTTAATATAGTGAAGTAATCTGGATCTTTGGGTAGAGTGAAATCTAGGCTTCTTTCTTTGGATTCTGATTGAAATTCTCTTGCACCTGAGAGCATCAATAACAGCGAGTTCCTGCTGGGAACCCCAGCTCAAACTCACATCAGACACGCTGAGCTTTATGCTTACACAGAGGTGTGCTCGAAGCAAATGTTCTGCTGTATTTAAGAAAAGCGTGTGTGTGTGTGCCTGTATATATGAATAATTATAGAGATATCCTGAGCTTGTTAGCATTGTTATTAAATGTTCGCTTAGCGTAAGTCTTATTCTAATTGTCATATGGGTGCTGGAAATAAAAGCATGGCAAAACATTGTAAAAAAGGATCCTCTGCCAAGAAGGGTAATAAACAAATCATAATGGTTTCTCCATTAATGGAAAAAAAAAAAAAAAGAAAAGAGAAAATGTTAACTTTTGGTCAGAAAAAATATGTTTTCATTTAGCTGTCAGTCTCTTTTCTGTTGGAGAAGCACAGCACTTTATGTTACAGACAGGTAAACAAACTTGCCTTAATTGCTAAAACAAGGGTGGGGAGGGGCATACTTATCAATGCTTTTCTGGGGATTCCATCTACGAGGCCACAAAACTGTAAGTCCTGATGGGGATGCACTCCCTGATTGTATTGTCTGGGAGATCTAAGTGGAAAAGAACAAGCCAGAAAGGACTATGCAGCACAACTCGACCATTCAGGAACCCAGTTTTGGCACCCTATAAAGCTAAAACTCTCAGAAATGAGCCTGCAAGGTTAGGTCAGATACATTGTTCTGAACTGATTCGTTTGGGAGTTTTCGACACATGTATTATGAGGAATCCTTCATGGGAAATTAGGTGACTAATCAGCCCATCAGAGGAAAAAATACCTGTCTACAATACCGATCTTCATAAGCATATATTTACTCAAACTGTCATGTCATTCTCCTCCAAAACACCTTTTTCTTTCTCCACTCATTTTTCTCCTCACTATGTTCGTTGTGTACGCATCAACTAGTGCTGTTTTCTGACATTTTCGCATCTTACTTGATCGTTTCTTTTCAGTCATACTTGAAAAATTGAGACTGTGCTGCGCAACACGTGCAGTGTCTCAGCTGGTGTAAGCCTACCCGGCTCCATTTTTCAGTTTACACAGGTTGAGATGACTTTATTTGGTACTGATCCTACCTGCAGCAATTTGGACCAAACAGTATGTGGTCCTGGGGTCTGATTTCTGCCTTGTGTGGGGAGGGATAAGATCATAATCAGACCACAGGAGCCTAGTTTTAAAATATATATAACAGTGGGTTATTTGTATTCCTTTGCTGTTGGTTACATAATTGGTTCTGTTGGTCTTGCCACTTCAAGCCATTCTTTTAAACATACATATATGCGTGTATATATATGTGCATACATGAGTGAGATGGAATGTATGATCCTATATGCTGGGCTAAGTCTTTCTGCCATACTGATACAAATCTAGACCATTTCTACTAACCTAAAAGTAGTTACTTTTACCCCGGGATGAGAGAAGAGCAGCTAATCAGTGTGTGGTAGCTATATGCTGTGCTGCAATGTAAAACAGTGGAGCTTAACTATACAATATCAAAGTGAAGAGCCCTGAAATCACTGCTGCAGTGCTGTTTATCTTGAATATCTTGTATATGGATCACTAGGTATTATCAGCTGAGTATACTGTTTGGTGATTTTAAGAGTTCAGGTAACACCACTCTAAACATCTGAAATTCTTTTCAGTGAAGTTAAAGCTAACAGTGTGTATGATGTATTTGCCATATGTCAGTGGTAGCTTCTGTGTTACATGCAGTCACTGTTGCTCTGAATTGTATATGTTTAACCAATGATGGGGTTAAAATGCTCTATAGTATGTGAAATGTATTGATTACAAGTATGTAGGAGTTCAGTGATCTATTTAGTTTTTACTGTGCTGCTGTTTTGTAGGTATGTGTGTGTATGGGAGTATGGTTGTCTACAATGTACAGTGAAACAATAATTAATCCTAAAGGAAATGGGCAGTTATGTAACCTGCCTTAATGCATTGGCATAATATTGTTTAAATCCAATAATTATCATGCCTGATCACAAGCGTTACCAAGGATTGTCCATAGGTCTGACTTTCTCACTTTTTGGCACTAAGGAGTTAAACTTGAAGTTACTTGGAGCTCACATCTTGATAAATAGAATAGAATGTTTGCCTGATCAACTGTCTTGAACATACAAGTTGGCAAAGACATGGTTTCCAGAGTGATACATATCAAATCACTTCTGTGCACACACAGTTCCAGCTGATGCCTGCGGCAGTTGTGATCATGCAGGCAAATGTGCTAAGCTTCATATTCTGTGATACAATCATGATAGGAGAGTGCTGGTACCCTGGCTTTGGGGACGTACCTGGATGCTATGCAACACTTCTTTTGTCCTGTGCTGGAACATAGCTGTAAATTCACAGGAAGAGTTTTGATCTCTGTTAGTGTCTACATTGGACTGTAAAAATCCTTAATTATAAATTTCAGAGGCTAATCAGCCTAGGCTGGCTTGCACACATACAGCATTCTGCTTTCAGGAACCATGGCAGCTTTGATTAATAAAAAAGATATCATAATTTCCCAGTGGCTGGCAAGACCTAGTGCTCTGCTTAGGAAACTCTACATTCCCCACATGTAAGACCCCTCCACAATTTCCACAGCCGGGTCTAGATCTCCCTTCATGGTTTCTGTCTGAGATTATTTCAGATAATTTCTTTCAGATATGTCTTTCAGATAACACAGATGATTAAAAGGGTCTATCTTGTGTCTGGCTGTTTGGACAGAGTAGGCAGAGCATGCCTAGCCTACCTGGCTTCACACCCTCTTCTATTATCTTTGTGTAGTTAAAATACAACACCTTCCCACTCTTCTCCTTTGCCTCCAGTCAGTGCTCCTTATCTCAACAACTGTGTACACATTCCTTTAACTGCCAGCTGTGAGCAACACTGCTCAAAGTATTATAGGTTTGCTGTCCTCAGTAAAGTAGGTCCTTAAACCACAGGTCCTTAAAAGGTGTTAAGTACAGGGCTAAAAGATGGAGTGTCCCATACCTGGTGTCCCAGGATGGTTTATACCCACAATCTCAAGTTATGTACCCATTGTCCTCTTAGACAGGCTATGAGAATTCAGTTATAAACTTTCTCCCTCCAAATTAAAAACAGGTTGGATGATATGCCAGTGAGTATGTCCTAAAATGGAGATACATTTAAGCTTTTTTTCTGCAGTGAGATGACACGTACTAGTCTCTCCTTTCAGCGCTGGGTCCTTACAAAGCCAATTTGATCAGGAGAGACTCCTTGGGTAGCTGAAGTCAGTTTTGTTTTGAAGCTGGGATCTTTAAAGCAGAATCTTGGCTTATTAAATATATGTTAAATCTAAAAATACATGATTAAAAATATAATTCAAAAAAGAAAATGAAGAAATCCCCGGGGCTTGTCAGGACAGTTGTTAAGTTTTTGAGTGCCTCAGTCATGAGTAGCTTCAGGGTCATGTAGGTGATTAGGTGATTAGGTGATGTAGGTGATGTAGATGATTAAGATGTTATTGCCACACTGCTTCCTGACACAATTCAGTGTCTATGTACAGAAGTCTTCTTATTTCCTGTGAGCATTAATGCATTTGAATGACTTTTCTCTGTTGTGGTGGGAAGAACGATTATATAACACTGATTACGGAGCTCCTTGTGTGTTGTGCCCACAAAGGTTCACAGAGCTGCACCTTCTCTTTTTTAGGATTCAGTGGTACTTTAATAAATGTTGTGTAAAAAATGGCTACAGTTCTGTATAGCAAATGTGAATTTTTGTGGCAAGAATGTGTATTTGGTGTAGAAAAAGAGTAATATAAAATTCAGTTTCTTTGTGAAGTTTCTCCAGTGAAATATCTAATAAAGGTCTGGTATCTGTGTTTTTGGTTTATGGTTTCATTGCTACATTCAAGACTTCACATGTAGAAGGGCTCTTAAACACAGTTGTGCAATATGGGATGGAGTTGGATGTTAGACCCAGGCTGTGCTATTGTGTTAGGAGTGTGCGTGTACTGCCCTGTGAGGTCATTGAAGTGAGGGTACTGTTTCCACCTCTTTACTGGGGTCCCCTTGAATGCCACAGGACATTGTGATATGTTTATGCTGCCAGGGACACCACAGGTCTTGGCTGCCTGTTTTCCCACCCGGGCTTTCCAGCCCCGATTTTCCTCAAACACCAAAGTGTATGACTCAACCCGACAGCCTGGGTGCGACTGTGCTGCTCACAGTTGCCATTAGTGGTGTCTTGTAAGAAGGAGGCAGGGACTATACCTCTGAAATGTTAGTCTGCTCCATTGCTCCCCTGGGTGTTCTCAGCATTACTGCCTGTAGCTCACATCAGCATGATGAGGAGTGCCCACTGCTGCCAGTACTGCTGGAGTGGAAGAGCTGCTGCACCAAGCTTGGACCCAGGACATGCCATCTAGCAGGTGAGTTCCCTCCATTGTCTCCTGGTGCATCATGGGGTGTCTGGGGACCTGTTCCTCAGAGGCAAACCTCCCCCAAGAGCTTTGCACCCAGGAGCACAGCCAGCAGGGCTGGGCTTCGCAGCATGCTGCAAAGGTGAAGTGTGGCACAGAATCATAGAATAACAAAATCACCTAGGTTGGAAAAAACCTTTAAGATCACCAAGTCCAACTGTTACCTGGGACTGCCAAGACCACCACTAAACCATGTCACTAAAGACCTCATCTGTGTGGATTTTGAACACTTCCAGGGATGGTGACTCCACCGCTTCCCTGGGCAGCCTGTTCCAATGCCTGAGCACAGTTTTGATAAAGGAACTTTTCCTAATATCCAATCAGTCAGACACTAAAGCCTTTCAGGATGTTAACAGCTTGGCATTTAAAGTTTGTGTTACTTTTTCTTCCTAGCAATACCAGTGGTGGGGTGTTCTAGGACAGACCTCATTTGCTCACCTCTCCTGTCAAGTGACAGGCAAACCCAGCCCAAGTGCTCTGCTCCTATGCTTTTCATGCTCTCTCGCTTGGCCCAGTTTGAAACCAAGTAGCCAGGCACAGGCTGACAGGGTTTGCAGAAGATGCCATGAAAGACGGGCAATTCCAAGGGGGCCTCTCTGTCAGTGACTCCCTGTGGAAATCCATGAAGTACACTTGTCTGCTCTTTAAAATGTCTCTCCTCTTTTTCCTACGCCACATGGATAGGGTTGCTCAGCACACAGAATGAATTTTCCTCATTGCAAAAGGGGCTCTCTTCTTTCTCCACTTTTTAAGTATTTTTTTTTTCTAAACTACTCCAATAAAAGGATAAGCAG